TGTACACTACACACAGTTTCTAACAAACTTCCCTTATGTAGAATTACCCAGTGCTAGGGGATCCCAGAAGATGAGCATGATCTGTAATATGGCCGCTGGGAGAAGACGGGAGCAAGAACAGCTAGGATGTGGCTGCAGTCCCTCTGTGCCAAAATATTTTGAAAGGCTGTTTTGGACTTAAATGGTGAAGCAAAGGTGTGAGTGGAGCACATACAATGGAGAAACATACATACTATTTAACCTCTTAGGGAATGTTGCCATGCCTGCTGTACAGAACACAAAGCTATGTTTCAATTTCCAAACACATTCTGTGGTGTGGGCAAGCTGAGGAAGAAAAGCTATATTGGAGCAGAAGTTCTACGGATATGTTCTGTGCATGTTTTCCATAAGATGTCTGCTTGCTTTTTGAAATAAAAAGTGCTGGGTCTTATCAAGGTTTTTCACTGAAAATCAAGGTCAAAACCATACTACAGTATCTGGAAGAAAGACAGGGACAAAAAATCAACTCATTTGGCGCATGGTGTTGGCAGAGAACCTTACCGATAGTACAGAAAGGCAGAAAAGTGGATGTTCAATCAAGTCAAGTCTGAATTCTCCCTAAAGAAAAAATAAACAGGCTATCCTACTATGCACATATAATGAAAATACAGAACTGACCAGAAAATACAATATTACTGGCATAGGAAGCATAGGAAAAGAATAAGTAGTAGTATGAGATAGATCAGTGGTCCTCAACCTTTTTACCTCCACGGACCAGTTTAGCGTGCAGGTGGGGGCCATCCGTGCAAGGGCCGTGTGGACATGGGAGGGGCTGTGTGGACGTGGGAGGGGCATGCATGTGTTCTGGCGGGCAGGCAGGAGATTTGTTTCCACGGCCTGGGCCTGGCAAGGCCGCAGACAGGTTTGGGGAACCCCGAGATAGTCTCAATAAAGGAATCCACAACTGTTTAGTTTGCAAGACCTGAACAGAATCTACTGGAAAAGACAGTACAATAGGACACCCATATCTATGGGGAATCAGTTCTATGATTATCACGGATGCGTGAAATTGTGGGTAAGAGAAAACTGCAACATACAAGAGGGCAAGACAAAGATCACAAGGGAGAAACCCTTATATGTTGTATATAGGGCTGCCACAAACCACAGATAATTGAAATTATGGATACTGATCCTGCAGACATGGGGATCGTAGTGTATTGCTAGGAAGGAGGGGGCAGTAGGAAGAGAGAACAGCATGACATGCTGTTGATTTGCTAAATCTGAGCAGAGCTGTTAATTACATGATTTTGGAGGTCATTATAGTAATGACACATCAGAGATGACTTGATGGCACATAGCATCTTTTTTCCCCTTAATTACTAGACAATTGTATAGTGACAACATGGGTGGAATGATTATAACTTATGACAGGACATAGGCACCAAAGTTCTGTTGTTATTGAATAAGGCCATCCCTAGCCACAACGCAAAAAACAGTAATTCCACAGCTTAAATGAGTGAGCTTCTGAATACTATAATTGTTTTCTATTTTTTTAAAAAAAATCTTTTGAAACACCTTTACATCCAGATACAAAATTTGTTTCACAGCACAAATGCCTGTTTGGCCAGGAAGGAATAAAAAAAGCTCTCCTGACAGGCAGCTAATTGAGTCCTCACTGACAGGGTAAAAAGTTAAGATTGCTGCAGACATGGAGCTGATTTTGAAGACGTTTCAGCAGCCTGGTTTCAAAGAGAATATTCAGAGTGAAAGCACTCAAGGCTGGGCCAGACACAACTGCTCTGTTCTTTTCTAATGCAGAAACTTGGAACATGTCTTACAAAATTGTATGCTAATTCCCTTGAGACATATTGTAATATGTCCCTTTCAAGATGACTGTCACTCCCTTTCTTTAAAGCAAGCCTGTTTTTTTTAGCTCCCCAAAGAAAATCTATATTTTGACTTTGTCTCTCTGACCTTTCAGTGCCCTACAGCAGTGGTTCTCAACATCATGTAACCCAGGTGTTACTGGATTTCAGTTCCATAAGCCAGCGGTCCCCAACCTTTTTGGGGCTGCAGGCTGTGGGGGGGGCATGCCCACCGTGTGTGTGACCCCCGTGTGCACAATACCCCCCCCATGTGAGTGTGACATGCCCACCACACATGCATGCGGGAGGAGCGGAGATCCGTATCTGCGGACCACTTCTGGCAAGCCCACGGAGCGGCACCGGGCTGGGAACTGACGATCCCTGCCTAAAGCCTTCACAGCAATCTGCGCTGGCCAGGGTTTCTGGAAGTTGCAGTCCAACAACACCTGGGTAACCCAAGGTTAGAATCCACTGCCCTACAGTCTGCTCGCAGAAAGCTGCAATAGTGTACAGTATCTACTTTGAAACAATCATGCTAATTATTCTGTGCCATGCATGCTCAATCTAATAACAAAGTGGTTGTTTTTCCCTTGTGAAGGTCCTTTCAAAAGGGAAGATCACTATTTCAGCCACTCTTGATTTACTCTTCTGCACAATAATATCACTGCACTCTAATGCAGTGCTAATGTAAAACACCAACTACAGTACCAAGAACCTAAGTACATGACCAGCACCTTATTGGATCACCACAGCTTCCACATTTGTGGTTACGGGCATATGAATATTGAATAAGATACTGGTCACCATCATTCTAGCAAAGTTAAATTTATAACTGAAACACAAATGAATACTGATGCTTGTTATAAGATAATATGTAAGTTTTGTTCTCATGCCTCATCTTCATGTATTACCTGTCCTTCATTAAATGGAATATCTTATGTTTTAAAAAGAAAACAGTGCAACATTTCTTATTTCTCCTACACCATATACATTATTGAAAAGAAGCAAATAACTGAGTATTAAATTTGAGTAAATATAAACTTTTATACAACCAGGGGATATATTTAACCCAGTCTCAGGTTCAATTAACAGTCCAGGTCATGGCCCACAATATGCCTGTAAATATTATGGTTATTTTACAAATGTATTTTACTGTATACCTAAAATTATCAAAGATAACTTTAAAAATAAATGAAAATCTGTTTCACAGAAATATATTGCATACTGCTGATTTCGCCGTTAAGGACTTAGCCATAATCTAGTTAGCATGCTCATAAAGCTTCCAAGTCCTGGCTGTAGAAATCTGCAGTAATGTATATGTTTCTGGTGCAAGCATATGTAATACACACATGCACTATTCTGTTTTAACAGTGCTGAAAATCCCATCCTTAACAATTGTTTGGTAACATATTAGATCTTAAATCACTTTAGTGCCATTTTCTTTATGGGGTATAAAATGAACTTTTGCAAGTAAGATGGTCCACAAGCCTCTGGGTAATTGATACCATGTTGTAAATCTCACTGTAGCGGAATGCAAAAAGGTGATGTCATTCCTGCCAGTCCATCACAGCAGCTAAGGGGGAGGAGCCAATGATAGAGCAGGAGGGGCGGAGTTAGAGTGACGGAGTTGGAGAGATAGACTGTTAGGCAGATGGAGTTAGAAATAGAGTGTGTTAGGGTGTAGGAGAACGAAGGAGAGGGCAAGTGAACAGATCTAAGGGGGTTAGGAGAGGAAACTGAGAAGTTTAAAACATTGAACAAGCAGGAATGAATGTATAAACACTACCTGAGAGATATTGATTGAAAGCATACAGCAGCTCAGAATAAAACTGATTGACTACATGAACCAAAATATATCAACACCTAAACCAACTCATATGTGATTTACCTTTTGATTGTTTAATAATAAATGAATACTTAATTCAAACCTCTGCTTCCTTTCGGTTGGTAGCACCTGTGTGGGACATAAATTGGTATTAGGAGAATACCTGGTGGCAGCGAAAAGGGTGTGTGTTTCTTTGTGAGGCCCAAAGAAATAGGGGCAACAAAGGATTGATTGCCACACTCACCTTTTTTTCTGGTAATTTCATTGGATGAGATGAAATTTCCTGATGAGAAATTTCCCTTCAAAAACTTGAAAGAACAGTCTTTTTTCAGGCACTGGAGTTTCAAAATGTTCATATGAGCAAATACAGACAAGGAATTCTAGACTTCTGGGTTTTTCTAAACTAGTATGGAGGAGGTCTTAATTTAACTTTGGAACTGACTTTCTTCATGGAAGTTATATTTCATTAATCTTAAAGGTAGGTTCTTATTTCTTTTGCTAGCTGATGCTGCCTGCTAGAAACAAAGAACTGAAGACCAGATTTGCACATAAGCATTTGGGGGACAGTATTCTACCCACTGATCCAGATGCCACTGTGTGTAAAACCCAATTAATAGAACATTGTGGTGTCAGTGGGGGAAACACAGAGGCACAGTGGCTGCTGCCAATCTTCGTGTGTGCTCTCTCCTAAAATAGTAACCACACTGGTAGCAAGCATGACGTGTTTGCATTTGTCTAGCCACCCTTGTACTGTGTAAGTGAGGAAGCCCTGCCTCCAGCAAGTGAGTGACATGGTTTATGGTTCCTGAGGTGTATTGGCTAGACTACAAAAGCTCTGGCATATGTTTCCCAAAGCAAAGTGCTTTCTGCCTTGGAAGCTATATGCTGACAACATCAGCTCTTTTTATTCAGAAAAAATGATAAAGTATTTTATTCTACTAGCTATTAACATAATATTCTACTAGGCAAATCAATTTCAAACTATGTAAAGGGTTATAATAAATTAACATCCTTTGTCGTGAATATGAGTGCAGTCTTCATCGATATGAAAAATGGAATGGAATTTTCTAATTGCTGGTGAGCAAATGAATTCTTACCATTTATGTAACTTAGTGTTAGATTATTGCACCACCACTACTGAAATAGTGTTTTCACCCATTTTCTTGTGGCAGCAACTCATATAGGCACAGCATAGCTTCATCCTAACTACGTAGACAGTACATTGTTACATTGGTTCAAACCTCTTCTGGCAGGAAGAAAAGAAATACTTTTTAAAATATAATTTGAGTCAGTGTGTTTCTGTTCCATGGCTGAGAGAAAAGACACATTGATTAGATGAGTTGCAAAATTTAATGAGTTGCTGATAGTAAGCATACCTTTTAGGGGGGAAATGGAAGCATTTATGCTACATCTTCAGAATAGGATGCAGCCATATTTAAGAATGTAGAAGGATGAACTTGCAGGGGGGAAAAGACAAAAATACTGTTTTTTAAAAAAAGCTTCCATGAGAAAGAAAGTAAATTTGAGGAAGGAAGAAAAAACTATACAGGTTTTCTTCAGTACATTTAGCCAGAATGGCATATATACATTGCTTCTTCCAGTGGAAGGATGCTGTTTCAAATATAAATGTGTTCATTAAAAGTCCGCTTGGATGATGCTATAATACAGATGCTTCCTCCATGGCTTCAATCCATCTAAAAGAAGGGGGAAAAATCAAAAGTCTTATTGTATATCTCTTTCAAGCCAATTTCATAATTAAAATGTACACATGCACCGCTCTTTCAGGCCTGATTTTAAAATCTGCTAAATTTGAGAGAGCTTGGGTAATTTTTTGTCTCCAGCTTTTCATTAACTTGGTTATAGTGAGGAAATGAGGAAATTGCTGCACAGTATATAATAAAAGATGGTGGCTATAGCACAGTTTGTATGAAAGGAGGGAAATCTGTGTATGCACTGTGTACATGGTTAGATATAAATTAGTTTTAGGCTACATCCCTATCTAGACTTAAAGGTAAAGGTTCCCCTTGACAATTTTTGTCCAGTCGTGTTCGACTCTAGGGGGCGGTGCTCATCCCCATTTCCAAGCCATAGAGCCAGCGTTTTGTCCGAAGACAATCTTCCGTGGTCACATGGCCAGTGCGACTTAGACACAGAACGCTGTTACCTTCCCACCGAGGTGGTGCCTATTTATCTACTTGCATTTTCACATGCTTTCGAACCGCTAGGTTGGCGGGAGCTGGGACAAGCAACGGGCGCTCACTCCATCGCGTGGATTCGATCTTACGACTGCTTGGTCTTCTGACCTTGCAGCACAGGCTTCTGCGGTTTAGCCCACAGCGCCACCACGTCCCTAGACTTAGCTGGGAATAAGTCCTGTTGGTTCTGACTAGTATAGGATTGTATTTTCTCATATATATTTATCATATATTAAAAAATATGCCACACAGATGAAATACAGAAAGTATTTAACCACAGAGTCAATATTAATACAGTTCCTTTTGTAGGCCACCCAAAAAAAGCACAACAGTTCATGCAACTCCTGGATTCCTTCAACATGCAGGATTTTACTAAAGGCACATTTGCTAAATCAGAAGTTAATCATCATGAAGTTCCTTTGTGGTGATTAATTAGATCAACCAATACTACCCTAGACATCTTGCCAAGGCCAAGCAAATTTGACTACTGTGTTAATGCCTTTGTTTGAGACAAAGCTGGTTCTCGTTAAAGTGCAAATAAAAGCTGTTACAGCTGTTTAGCAGCAAAAGGTTTCTAAAAGAAAGGAGCTCATAAGAGGAATGAGAAGGATTGCAAGCAATTTTTCCATGGTTAGTAGGTTATCATGGGCAGACTGATACCCAGTACCTCTGTGCTGAATTGTTATCCTCTGCTCGGAAGCTATAAAACAGAGTTTGCTTGTGGTAAAGGTGGAAAACTGCATCCATATTTCTGTCGTCCTTTTCTGGGACAATTGTGAAACCCAGCAAAGGCATACTCTCTGTGGCGACTTTATCCTGAAATCAGTGTAGAAGGGGGAAAGGGCCTTTAGAGGAGTACCAGACACAAGGTTGTAAGTGAGGTCTTTGGAAGAGAAGGTGAGATTCCATTCAAAGTGGATGTATTGAAAAGCCTTTGTGCCTATGGATGCACTATTTCTATTCTGGAGAATATAAAACGAGTGCAAAAACCTTTCCCCATATTCTGCTATAAATAGACTTTAGTGCCTCATTTTCCTGATAGAAGAATATAAACCAAGTTGTGCTCCAGGTGGTACTCTGGGAATTTCCCATCTGATGACCATAAAGAAGTCTGCAGCATGTTTTAATGCTCATTAAACATACCATTTTAAATCATTTATATTCTTCTGGGAGATAATATTAAACATTTTTGACGTATCAAACTCACTTTCTAGTTCTATCAATCCTGCGGTATAAGATTTTACAGGACCCCAAGAATACTCTTCATGGGGCAGGCCTTACCTCGTTTGCTGTGTAGGTGTAGAGCACTTTGCCTTTGATAACAAACCACAGCTTCTTCCAGTGCCTCTTCCCTCGCTTGCATCTGCTGAGATAGCCACTGATGGAAGAACCTTCTCCTGAAGCTGCCACCTATAGATAGATGACAACAAAACATTTAATGACAACAGATGGCTTGGACTGGGGCCTGTTGGTTTTACCAAGAACTCTCCCCTCCAAGTTAAATAGTTTTCCATTTTAATAGGTAACATTTTTATAAAATAAGTATTCCTACTGGTTGTCATAACTGGTGTTTACTGGCTTGCAGCTGAAGGGAGCCCTTGTGCAATCTAGCAGCACAAGCCAAAAATAGGTACATAGGATAATATAAGTGATACTTACTATAAAACTGCCTCTATCTAGACAAGAAAGATATCTGTCCATCTCATATGCAAGGATACTAAGCAAGATCCAATAGTTAGTGACTACATTGTAATTATATGGTGTTGGACAAACAAAGAGGTCTTTTTGTATAGTCCACTGTTTTTGGCAACGTGTGTCAAAAACATTTAGTAAACAGAAAGTGGTTGGTGAAGTAGCATTTCTCACTGGAATAGAAAATAATGGTTATGTAGAGTCTGAAACTAAAACTGAATACATCGTAAAGCTCAGGCAAGCTGTGTTTATTTAACTCTTCAGAGAAAATCAGGCTTTTCAGTCTATTTCTTTGGCTTTTCTCTCTTAATATATCCCTCCCCTGCTTACATTAAAAGGGACGTGTTGGCGCTGCGGGCTAAACCACAGAAGCCTGTGCTGCAGAGTCAGAAGACCAAGCAGTCGTAAGATCGAATCCACGCTCCTGTTGCTTGTCCCAGCTCCCGCCAACCTAGCGGTTCGAAAGCATGCAAATGCAAGTAGATAAATAGGGACCACCTTGGTGGGAAGGTAACAGCGTTCCGTGTCTAAGTCGCACTGGCCATGTGACCACAGAAGATTGTCTTCGGACAAACGCTGGCTCTATGGCTTGGAAACGGGGATGAGCACTGCCCCCTAGAGTCGAACACGACTGGACAAAAATTGTCAAGGGGAACCTTTACCTTTACCTTTACCTGCTTACATTGTATACAATGTTTTATTTTGTGAAGCTCCTGCAGGCTAGCCTGTACCATGCACGCTCAGTCTTATAAAATCTGTTTAGCCATTCTTCCCTTTTGAAAGGTCTTTTTTGAGGCTCAGTATTTCAGCCCGTGCATCTTGGATGCTTTCTAAATAACAAAAGTGGGTGTGGCCAATCATTATCTTTCAGGATAAGCAAGTTTGGTCTTTTCAATAGATGTGGTCTGTTTTAAATCTGGGACACATGGAGGATCGCATATTTCTGAATGGGGTGGGGCGGGAGCAAAGCAGTTTTTCTTTTTAAATAACTATAACTTTAATACCTTTCCCAAACTTCCCCATATGTGACACAGAGCAAGAGGAGATTTTCTGCCACAAACGTGCCAGATTTGGTGCTCATTTGAATCCAACAATTTGTAGAATTGCCTTATAGAATGTTGATTTGCTGTGCTACCACAAAATCATTGTTGCACTCTCAATTCACCTAAGGCAATATTATCTCTATGGCTATGTTCTTCCCTCTTGTGGGAGTCACTGGAACTTCATTTTTGCAAATACTGTATTAACATTAATAATAATAATAATTGTGAGCTGTCAAATCAATTCTAATTTATGGCAGCACTTTCCAGAGTTTTTCAGTAGAGAGTAGTCAAAAGTGGTTTACCATTTCCTCATCTGCGGGCATCCTGGAAGTGTACAACTTTGCCCATGGCCACAGAGGCTGGTTCTTCTGGGATGCATAGTGGGAATTGAATTCCCAACCTCTACTTAACTCACTGAGTTATCCAGCCAGCTTTGTAAATATTAGTCGTGATAAAATGACATGGAAGCATGCCGTGGGAAAGTGAAAAATTAACTTGTTTCAAACAGGAATAGAAGTAAGTTGCAATATGAATTCTAGATTTTGACATTAAATGAAAACTTGAACATTTCTATTATCTCTCCCCTGCTTTATTTTCCATTCCAGTGCTGGAATTGGACTTAATCCCAAAGTTAACATTTGGCACAAGAATACACTCTGGCAGAATGCATATGACACATTAAGCACATAGAGCAGCCTAATTCTGCAATACAGAAAATATTGAATATTGGTTTGTGTATTAAAAGTGTCTTATTGTTTAGTTTCTTTGCCTATTTGCAGGCTTCCATGATCCTACCTCAAAAAGAGCTGAAGGAATTTTCTTTTGCCTTTTGAAGGACGAGTAGTGGATATTGTGGAAGACAGAAGAAAAGGCACTGCTTGACAACCTGGATGAACTTGTGGGGAAGCTCATACTTATTGGTCGTTCTGTAATAATAGGGAAAAAATTAAGCAGATAGAAGTAAATTTTATTTGGTGCATCAGTACATTAGCCAAAATTTCAGACTAATCCCTCTCAACACATTTCACTGTTCTTGATTATGGGTTTCCCACCTATAGTACTCAAAGCGCTCTCTGGGCAGCTTACAACATAATTACACAGGCTACACATTGCTACCTGAATCTTGTCAGGATCAAACTCAGGCCATGAGCAGAGTCATGACTGCAGTACTGTGGCTTAACCATTGTGCCACAAGGCTGTCCACTAGATCAGTGGTTCCCAACCTTGACTAATCCAGGTATTTTTTTGGTTTTTTATTGTAGTTCTCAGAAGCTAAAAGACAAGTTCTCCAGTAATGAAGGCAGTCAAAGTTTCTTGAACCCAGTCCTCCACTAGGACCTCTCCCCAAAGCTGAGGTCTGTTTGCTCATAAGAGATTTGTGTACAGGCCCTGGCCCCCAGCTAACAAAGCATGCAGTCGTCAGGGCTGAAAAGTCTGTGCACCCCTAGCTTACTCGAACGGGTAAGAACCCACCTCTCCTCTTCAGCTCTGCATAGCAGCCATCACAGACTTTTGCTAGTCGGTCTTTGAGGTACTTCAAGGGATACTTGTTTCTCGAACAGTTTCGACAAATAATCTGCAAAGGCATAGGATGTGGTGTACTCAATCACCCTTAGAATGAATGGAAGCTGGAAGCAAATTGAATTGGAATGCAGTCCCAGTGCAGGAGTATCTAATTTTGAATAATCCCTGCAATTTATGATTTAGCAAAGGACCGTTAAATGATACAGAGATGGGACAAAGAGACCAGGATGACTGAAGAAGTGAAATAAGTTTCATTTTTAATTTTTTTAAATCTCTTCTTTGGATATTTATGCTGACTAAAGTCCTGTTGCTTAGCATAGTAAATTGCACTATAATAAATAAATACATAAATAAATTATAGCTTGTTGAGTCAGTCAATGCCTTCAGTTTTATTAATTCAAATGTTATGAATAAATAAATAAATAAATAAACAATAGCTTGTTGAGTCAGTCAACACCTTCAGTTTTATTAATTCAAATGGGCCTATTCAAAACTGTGATTTAGGATGCTAAAGTAAGCCACTGTTAGAGGAGGCCCATTTGAATCAATGGAACTCACGGAGAAATTGACTCACCAATAGAGATGGGCCCAAATTTAAAAAAAAAATCTATTGCAAAATTCATTAAAAAATTGCTAATTTGTTAATTCGTATTTGTCAGAAGTGATGCCCCTTGACAAATATGAATCAACAGATTTTTAGTGATTTTCAATTAATTGATTTGTTGGTTTATAAATGCCCTCGCAGACACCTAGAGACATGAAAATTATAGAGAGGTGTCCCCTGACTCTCCTCTGCAAGCTCTGCATGTTTGGTGAAGATTGGGCTTTTCTCAAGACAGCTGCTGAAGGGCACTTTCCTGGGGGCACCCATTTTGTGGATGTATAACATGGATGTCCTAAACCCAATCAGCACCAAACTTGGATGGATTGTAGAGGAGAGTCAGGGGAAGCTTTTCTGCAATTTGGTGTCTCTAGATGCTGGGGGAGGGGTGCTTTATAGGTTTTTAAAAATTACAAGCCATGATGGGGATGTATAATCTCCAGGCTTAAAAGGAAGGTCCTTCAAAATGAGAGATGCAGGGGAGGGGTATCAGGAGACAGGTCTCTAGTTGTCTCGTGTGCTCCCAGAGGAATCTGGTGGGGCCACTGATAGATACAGGAAGCTGGACTAGATGGGCCCTTGGCCTGATCCAGCAGGGCTCTTATATTCTTATCAAGAAAGTAAAGTGAAACCAGCACTGTGGGAAGGGCCATTTCCCTACCAGTCTCTAAACTGGAGCTGCAAGTGATCTGTGCTTATTATATATCTGATAATCACAGCAAGCCCTGTCATTCAGCAGAATGAGACAACATTATATATCTGATAATCACAGCAAGCCCTATCATTCAGCAGAATGAGACAACAACCTTGGACAGTGGATGTTAGCGCAGGGGAACAGCAGTTCCCATAAAAATAAATAAATAAATAAACCTAAGACAGTGGATGTTAGCACAGGGGAACAGCAGTTCTCTACTGGTCCACCTGTTACTCCCTTCTCTGTGTATATTACTCAGCCTATCCTCATCCTCTAGCCTGCTGCCACTATCGGTATGGAATTAAAATGCAAGCCATTTTTGCGACATCCTCCTTTGCCCCAGAAAAGCAAATTATCTTAACCTTGCCTTGTTATCCAGGTTGTACAGATGAAAAATGCAAAGCTTTTACTGTTTGACAGCAGAATCCTGTTCCATGTTGTAAGAAACTTTTACTGGGTAGATTTTGATCAGAATCTTTTGCTGAGGAAATTTGAATTTTGACACAACAGATTTACCTTCCCACATGCATGGCAATGATGACGCCTCAACGTGAGCTTAAAGTCACAGCCGCAGTTCATGCACATCATGACATGAGACACAGGTACCAGGGTTGGAGGCCTCTCACCTAAAGATATTCCCAATCTTTCCCTCAGCTGGAAAAAAACAAAACACAAGAGCACACTGGTTTATCTTTCCCACATAACACAAGGTCCGCATTTCAGCTTTATGTGATGACTAGACTCTTTTCATGATTCAATACAAAAATTCGTAACTGTAAACACATGTATCAGCTGGTCTGAGCACTCTACTTTCTGATCTTTATTGTGGTGGCAGTTGAGGGGAGAGGACAAACATATTCCTCAAATGTGGTGCTTTGCATGTGTATTGTGAGTGCACTTCATGGCCCTCTACACACCAGAGAAGTGAAAAATGCTTGCAAAATAACTCATTATTAGTGAGATAGGCTGTCTCAACACACTAAGTTTATCAAGTCCAAATTGCTAGCTGCTGCTGAAGTTCTCACTTTCACCACGCAAGAGAGACAAGGAGCGAGAGGGTTTTTTTGGTTGTTTCCATGATGGGTGCAAAATGTGTGAACAAAAACTACTTTTCTTTGTCTGAACCAAAGTGTGTGTGTGCATATATACAGAGAGAGAAAGAGAGAAGGAAGGAGAAAGCGAGAGAACGGAAGAACTCTGTAATTGATCAAACAAGCTAATTTTTGAGAAGTCCAATAAGGCAACAGTTATCTCTTTGTTTGTTTGTAATTTAGGAAAAATATGTGATCTCACACTGAGAATGCCAGAAAATATTTTGCAGGCAAGGAAAAATAAGCAATATCTCATTCTCATGCACGATTAAAATACAAACAAAAAATTATATCCACAACAAACACACTAAGACTGTACTGTCATGGACAACATGACATTCCCCATAAAGCCATTCATTGTGCATTACCAGATACAGGCTGAGTGGCATATTTTCTCCCTACTTTCACAAAGAAGCTAAAGGATTTGGGGATCAATCAAGATAGTGACTTTCCAGGAATAACTGTGTAATATTACCTTGTTCCCAATGTGGTATAGAGGACTAGGGATACCTAGATTTGAATCCCTGCTCAGCCATGGAAATTACTGGGGGAGTGGAACAGTGAAAACCACTCCTTAAATGTCTCACATACCTTGAAATCCCTATTAGGGTCACTGTAAGTTGGTTACAACTTGATGTCACATAACTAACGAATATCAGTTTGGAGGTAGTTTTTATAATCTAAGAAATGTTAGTGGTGTTGTGTTACTGTAATGCCCTTATGTGTTATAATTTTAAAAAGAGTCAAAATAAATTAAATCATGTTAAAGCATAAGAATCCGGGCTGCAGATATTCAAAGGGCCACTAAGTGGAGTAACACCATCCCTCCACAGTTCAGTCTTTGATAGGCTGCAACATGTTAACATATTCTTGGAAAAGAAAGGCTACCCAATTCCAGCCTCATTCTAGCAGAACCCATAAATCCTCTGCATCTCGATGCCCAGGACATGTCTCCCAAATCTACTCCCTACATCACTGTTGAGGAATCTGGCAGCAACTTCAGCAAAATTAATATTAAGCACGCATGCTCCAATGACCTTTATTGTTTAACCTTTGCAGAGCAATCTACATGAAAGTAAGATAAATGCCTTTCCCTAAGGGACTTTCCCCCCCCCCTCCGCCCTCAAATAGGTTAGAAAACCAGTTGGGATCTGCTCTTACTTCAACGCTGTTGTGAAATCCAGCTGCACTGTGAGCCCTGTAGTCATCTGGGATGCTTCTGCTGATGCAGTTGTACCACTCATCCCTTTCTGAGCAAGAGCTGTGGAGAAAACACATGACATCTCCATCACCGTTGGACCCTGTTGGTTCTCTGAGACTGAACTTCCTCCTTAAGATTTCCTCTCCCCAGACTGACTTCCAAAGCATTAGAGAGGGCCACAAGGGATATTAGCTGCAGCCTTTAAATTCGGGGTAATCTGATATTTCACTCTCTGACAGAGAACATCTCACTTTGACAGGAGAATGGGAAATACAAACCTACACTTTTGCAGACTGGTCATTAGAGGTCACTGTTGAACTATGAGAAATTTGCAGAGCCGCTGCTCAGTAGCAAATTCTACTTTTCTGTCTGTTTGGCTGGACTTCAATCTTATTTGTCCCTTTGGAAGTCCTGTCTGCCTGATGAGTGCCATACAGGCAAAGAGGAGATGCCAGGTCTCCAGGGAGAAAGGCAGACTGAGATTTAAAAAGCCATGCAGGACATACTATTAACCCATCTTCTCCAAAGTCATGACTCTGATCCAAGCCACCTCTTAAACACACAGTTCAATCACCCACTCATCTTTCAGTCTCATCTGCTTCTGGAGCAAAGGGTTAAAGATTCTTCATCAGCTCACAAAGCTGCATTCTGAACGATTTGCCTCTATCGCTGGTGTGTCAAGCTTCCCTCTTTTCTGGGAGAGACCTGGTGTCTGAAGCCAAAGAGAGCATCACCTTATGGACTGAACACCCGTGGAAGACCTAGATTAGATATTGGTCACATGACTGCCAATATGTCAGGCTGAAGGGCATCAATAAGAGCCCTGCCTGGCCCGCATTCCTACTTTTCTCAAGTTTCCACTGGCAATATGTGCAAGGTGCCTTTGGTATTTAAATTTATTGGCTGCAGTCCAACTAAGAAAGGACTCCAGTGTAAATCAATTGGCATAAATTCCAGCTGTGTGTTGCAACACATTACGATTTCAATGCAGGCATTTGTTGCTGTGTTCCAGTCATGCAGATAGCAAATGACTATGCTGATGTCTTAACTGGCAATCATTCACAGCTGATATTTATGTTGATGGATTTATCGTGGCAGTCTTAAGTAACAAAATTCTTGCCATTATAAACCATCTGTTGGATTTTTACACAGTGCTACGGTTTTGCTGGATTTTAATATTTTGTAATGTTTTCATTGCCTAGGGTGGGGAATGAGACCTACCAAGAATACAGTCAAATTAAACTCCCCCTTGCCACAATACAACACCTCCAGGTTGGAGCAAAGGAATTCTGTAACTAAATGGTGAAGGATTCTGGTAACTTTGTCAATGTTTCACAGGAAGCTGTGCAATTCTGGAATCTGTTAGCATTAATTTTAAAGCTATCTGCTCAGCTTCCACAGAAAGTTCCCAGTAGCACCAGTATTGGGCTGGCTGTATTTCTGTTGTGAGCTCTCTGTCTTCATCACATGGTACCAAACAAAGGCATTTGAGACTAGTATATCTTTTGTAGGAGAAAACCGAGAGCTGATCAATGACGCTTGGCTGAGACGAAATCCCCACACACCCCATGAGTGAGCACTTAACTGTGGAAAACATCAGCTGCTATAATAAAGCTCAATGACCCTGCTGACAAAAAGTGGACCCAAGACAGTGGCATTGTGAAATAAGACACTGTACATCACACCACATGGGCAACGTTCACGGCCTTGCTTACTTTCCACACTCCTCCTTTTCCTTCTGTCTCAAAGACTTCCTGATATGCATGTTGTCATGTTTTTTAATGACAGGACTCCTGTATCTCTGCTAAGTGCTTTAACAAAACATTAGCAGGGGAAGTCTCTCTTCAACACATACAACACCACAACTGCATGCTAGGAAAAGCTTCCACTATAAAGACGTAAGTGGCTTACCAGTAAAAAAATATTAGCTGCAACCTGCGAACACATACATAATTTCTGGAAATAAATAGTATATAATGCCATTTAACTGACTATATTCATTTGTACAACGAATCATGGCTGTGGGCTACGAAGCAGAGGGGAAGAGGATCTGAAAATAAATGTAGGCAGGAAGTAGTAAAAATATGACTGGTCTTTGCATCATTCCGTAAACAAATATATGCACAGACACACCACTGCATTTTCTAATTTTCTTTTCATGCATAAATGCAGAGAAAATGTAAGGCATAACATCCAGGGCATTCAATGTGCAAGAAAACAAACCACAGCATAAAGGTAACCTGTCACCAACTTCACAGTATTTAATATATATTAGGTTAGCTTTGAGAGAGGAAAAGGAAAGTACATATGAGCCAAGCTTAAGCCAACTGCACATCAACTAAAGCTTGGTTCCCAGCAGATCTTTTATTTGTTCTTTCCTCAATCAAACTACATTTTTGAATCACAACATTACTTAAGAGTGATGATATCCTTAACACGAGAGCTCAGACAACTTCGTTTTGTTAATGGGTAACAATTTTCCCCATGTATGGAGCACATCATTGGGGTTTTTCGGGCAGAGATCATTGAACAGCTCTAGATACATGTACTAGAACCTTCTCCAGCCTAGGATCTCTAATGTCTAGCCTTATGATGGTCTTATGATCCCTCTGTATGAAGGCTTGCTTTCCTTTTACAATGCACATGTGCTAACTAGAATTATGTTACTAAGCATTGTTATTAAGCATTGGTGGGTGGTAGGGGTTAATCAATGCAACATGGGAACTCACAGCAAAAGGGAATCCATTACAAGGCTCAATGCCACAGCAGCCTGGAGATAATTTATGGCATGACCTTTTGCTAAACTATCTAAAGTCCTGTTATTATGAAGCAGTGCCTGGTTGTGACTGTGTGTCTGATAGGCAGATGAAGCACAAAGAATCACATTCATTTTTTTGCAGTTGAACTAACTGTATTGCCAGCCAGCTAAACAATAAAGTAGAGATGGCAAGGAATGTCAGTGGTAGATTCAATTCTTCAAAGAGCATCTGGTTTATGAATGTGGGATATTGTGCTTCTGTACCCACAGTTCAAAAACCCAGGAAATGGCTGCACAGTATTCTGCTCACATTGCCAACAGGAGAAAGGATGTCAAGCTTTACATACAAAGGGAAGCCTAAATAAAGGCTGAGGGGCTTTACGCCGAGAGAGGCCCGGAAAGAAAGAACAAAAAAACGGGCCTTCTCGGCAGTGGCCCCTTGACGGAAATCTGCCTTGCTGACCAATCTGGTGAGGAGGTGGAATGACAAGTCTCCCCACTCAGTTATTGAGTGGTCAGCAGTGCAGGGAGTCAGGGAAGCCCAGGCTTCTGCGCTTGGCGCAGCACAAATGATGACAGCTGTATGCACCACACCACAAGCAGTAAGTGGACGGCCCAGTTCAGGGGGGAGCGTCCAACTGGCCCAGCCACCTGTGATGCCAATATTCACATTCATCTCCTCTGGGAGACATGCAGATATTCCATCTCTAATCCAGATCCCAGACCCTCCCATTCCAAGGGTGTAGAGCAACACACTGCTGCTAGCTAGGGGATTCTTCCTTTTGGCACAAATGCACAACCTAGGCTGAATGTCAGTTTCCAGGACCCAACTTTTCTTCTTTGGGCCCAGGTGCCATCCATCAGGCCACCAAGCGTCCATTGATATGACCATGAGACAACCCTGTGATCTCCATGTACTTCTTGATTATGATGGTCATTAACTCATCATGAGGAAGGCTCCTTGTAAACAGAGACTTCATTATATTGTCAGTAAAGTTTTAAATTTTTCTTCTGTCATATAAGTACTATAAAATGCATTTAAATTCACTGAGGAGAATTAGCTAATTGCTACTTTTCATTAGTCCTCCAGTTACCTCAAGGACATGACAAGTGAAATGAAGCAGAAAAAGTGTGACAGAGAAAAAGTTACAAAAGATCAAGACACAGATCATGAGTCTATCAGAAATAGATTTCCTGCTCTTCCCTCTCTGTCTGAGATCTTCTGAAGTGCCTTTGGCTCATTAGAAGTGCTGAGATAGTTGTGTCTTCTAAGCCATATATTTAAAATGAATGCCTTCTTTATAGTCAAACACCCATCCATTATCTGCCACAACACCATGGTTATTAATGGGTTTTAAATATAGTGAGACAATTAGATCTGGGTGTGTGGGGGGCACTTGTCTAGAAATTCAATATTAAAAAAATGAATAGTGACATGATACTACCTACCTTGCTGATAAGGTTAGGCAATTTTCAGCATATTCAATCTTCAGAACATTTTGGGCCTTTTCTGTCACTGGACGGCTAACCTAAGGAGGGAAAAATGGCATTTGCATGAAGGAAGTAAACAGGTTAAATTATTCAGTGTCCAGAATAATTGTAGTCACTTTCATCTCTCCTCATTCATGTAACAGGAGCTATATGACCACTTCTGCAGTTGCCTCCGAAGAACTCTGTAATGTTCCTTACAGTTTGGCTTCCATAAAGGGTTCACAGAAAAAAACAACCATAAGGGATCGACCTCCCAGGGAGATGGACGTCTCTTGTAACTCATGTAAACTCAAGAGAGAGACTAACCAAGTGGATTGGTTTATATTTTATTTAAAAGAAAAAATGTTGCCAGGAATGATGGAGAACTGACTCACTTATCACAGCTGAATGCAAAAAAAGCTTTAGGTGCAACTTTCTTCAAGGGTTCTTGTGCACAATCCACTGTAGCTAAAGCACAATTAGTTCTGGGGCACCTGGAAGACCAACAGGTTTCCTGTTGTATAACATTTTATGGGGTTAGATTGTATATCATCTAATCCAACCATCTGTTCAATGCACATATTCCAAAACTAGAACATGTCCAAGAGGTGGCTATCCAGCCTCTGTTTTCCAATCTCCATCAAATGAAAAGATGATAATTTACTCACATTACATCAGTTTGTTAACCAAAATAATGGGAAACATTATAAAGTACTTTAGTAAAATAGCATATAGTTGTGTGAAAAAGAAAGCACACCCTCCTCAAAGTCTATGGTTTTATGTATCAGGACATAATAAAAATCATCTGGCCTTTAGCAGGTCTGAAAATTAGGTAAATACAACCTGAGATGAACAACAACATACAGTTGTGTTCAAAATTATTCAACCCCCACTGAAATTGAATGTTTTGGCCATTTTGACATTGATTTTGATCATTCAGTCATCTTGCTTACATTTACATGAAAGAGGCACTTGTAGGTCAGAGAAATATAACCTTAAGTTTATAATGAAATAACCACAAATGTCTTTTCTGTGCTCACATCATTATTAGTTTTTATTCAACCCCCAAGTGACATTCAATCTTAGTACTTAGTACAACATCCTTTTACAGTTATAACAGCTTTTAAACGTGAAGCATAGCTTGACACAAGTGTCTTGCAGCGATCTACGGGTATCTTCGCCCATTCTTCATGGGCAAAAGCCTCCAGTTCAGTCAAATTCTTAGGCTTGCGCACTGCAACTGCTTTCTTTAAGTCCCACCAGAGGTTCTCAATCGGATTTAAGTCTGGTGACTGCGATGGCCACTCCAAAATGTTCCAGCCTTTCCTCTGCAACCATGCTCTAGTGGATGTATGACATATTATACCATGTCATGATTTACGTATTTTATAAAAATAAAGCCAAAATGGAAAAACAGTAGGTACACCATTACAGCTTCCATAGGAATTAAACTGCTAAGTACAGTGGTGCCTCGCATAGCGACATTAATCGGTGCAGCAAAAATAGTTGCTAAACGATTTCGTCGCTATGCGATTTTAAAAAGCCCATAGGAATGCATTGAAACCCCTTCAATGCATTCCTATGGGCTTAAAACTGACCTTTAAGCGAAGATCCTCCATACGGTGGCCATTTTTGCTGCCCGGTAAGCGAGGAATCCGTCCCTAAACACAGCGGGCAGCCATTTTTTTTACCCGGTGGCCATTTTGGAACCGCCGATAAGCTGTTTTAAAATCGTCGCTTTGCAATGATCGGTAAGCGAAACAGGGAACCGATCATCGCAAAATGAAAAAACCCCATTCAGACCATCGCAAAGCAATCGCAAAAGCGATCGCAAAATCTTCATCGCTATGCGATTTCGTCGTTAAACGGGGCGCCCGTTAAGCAAGGCACCACTGTAATAGCCAGGAGCTGCTAACTAAATGCCCTTGAGTAATTGAACCACCTCTATGAAATCGGAGGTTTTAGCAGTTTGCTGGTCTGGAGCATTCAAGTGTGTGTTAACACAATGCTGAGGACAAAATACATCAGCAAGGATAGTAGAGAAGCAATTGTTGCTGCCCATCAATCTGGGAAGGCTTATAAGGCCATTTCTGAACAATTTAAAGTCCCTCATTCTACAGTGAGAAAGAGTATTCACAGGTGGAAAGCATTCAAGAAGTAGCCAATCTTCCCAGGAGTGGACATCCAAGGAAATTCATTGAACAAGAATGATAATGTATAGTTTGTTTGGGAGGGTTGCCAGGAGAAAGCATCTAAAGAACATGGCACCATGGCTTAGGTTTGCAAAGTTGCATCTGGACAAACCACAAGATTTCTGGAACAATGTCCTTTGGACAGATGAGGCTAAAGTGGAGATATTTGGTCATAATGCATAGCACCACATCTGGCGAAAACCAAACACAGCATATCAGCACAAACACCTCATACCATCAAGCACAATGGTGGAGGTGTGATGATTTAGGCTTGTTTTGCAGCCATAGGACCTGGCCACCTTACAGTCATTAAGTCAACCATGAACTTCTCTGTATACCAAAATATTCTAGATTCACATGTTAGGTCATCTGTCTGACAGCTAAAACTTGGCTGAAACTGGGTTGTGTAACAGGACAATGATCCCAGCAAACCTACAACAGAATGTCTGAAAAAGAAAAGAATCAAGGTTTTGTAATGGTCCAGTCAAAGTCCCGACCTCAACCTCATTGAAATATGGTGGTGGGACCTTAAGAGAGTTGTGCATAATCAAATGCCTGCAAACGTCAATCAACTGAAGCAACACTGTAAGCAAGAGTGGGCCAAAGTACCTCCACAATGATGTGAGAGACTGATAAAGTCATACAGAAAACAATTACTTCAAGTTATTGCTGCTAAAGGTAGTTCTGCAAGCTAATAAATCATAGAGTGTACTTATTTTTTCACACATGGCTTCTCCATTTTGGTTTTTATTTTTGTAAAATATATAAATCATGACATGGTGTAACATATCATATGTTGTTCATCTAGACCAGCAATGGTGAACCTATGGCATGCGTGCCACAGCTGGCATGCAGAGCCCTCTCTGTGGGTATGTGAGCCATAAGTCAACAGATTGCTACCCTTAGCAGTCAAACCTGAGGAGGCAGATGCTGCCATGGTGCTAGCATCCTGACAAGCGGCAGGCCAGGATCTGGAGCAGCTGGCGCTGGTGGGCTGGCAAGCTATAGGTAGTGGCAGAGTTGGGCATAACTTGAGGCGGATCCAGAGTGGGGTCTGGAGGCACCTCCGTACCTGGGATTCCTGCTTCTGCTGCCACTTCCCCTTCTGCTGCTGCCACTTCTGCTGACACCCGCTGGTGGGTTTTTTTTTCCAGTTTGGGCATTTCAGGCTTAAAATGGTTCCCCATTACTGATCTAGACCTTTCCTTTTGTTTGTTTATCCACCCTTTACCATCCCTCTACAAAACAGGAAACAAGGAATTATGTAAAGGTCCCCGCCTACAATAAAGGGCATTTTTATACCTATTGTGAAGCATGAAAAAAATTGATCAAACTTATTTTAAGTAGGTAATGTTAGGTAATGTTATTGAAGTTTATTTTTTCTTATTTTGATAGTTCTAATAGACAGTGACTGAAATCCTGTTGCTTAGTGTAGTGAGCCACACCGGGAGTAGACCCGAAAAATCAGTGGGGTTCTGGTGAGTCAACTCCCCTGTCAGTTCTATGGTTTCAAATGGGCCTACTCTAGTCATGACTTACTACACAAAAGTAATTTGCAATTTGAGTAAGCCTATTTGAATCAGTGAAACTTACGGAAAAGCTGACTCACCAAATTAACACTGATTTAATGGGCCTATTCTAGTGCAACTTATTATACTAAGCAACAAAGTTCCAGCCATTGTTTAACTTTATGGTGATGTAGCAAAGGACTTCTTTCTAGCTCTGTGGTTCCAACTCCTTAAGCAGCCCTCAACCAAGAGAAGCACACCTGGGATCCTGACTAGATCAAACACCTGGTTTCAATTAATTCATAAACAACAACTTGGCAGGCTAACTCAGTAGGACTTCACTGACATGCTTGCTGGCCACTCCTGAAATGGTTTTATACTTCTGTAATTTATGTATTTCCCATTTTATCCTTGTAACAAAGATAACTTGAAAGACAAAATGCCCTGCACTTTCCTTCCAAGCAAAGAAAATTAAAAGGTTTTCAGCTAAATGAAATACAGTGCTTACCCTCATGCCAGACACAGCCAAGGTGCTCTTAAGACGATATTTGCCATCCTTCTGGGGATATGTATACAGCAGAACATCATTCATCTGTATGAAGAGAACGACCAAAGCAATTACTTGCAATATGCCGGTCACATCCCCTTGGCATGCTACATCCAGTACAAGGATTGCACTCTGGATTGTTGCTGAAGAACGATCTGGTCTCCAAATGCTGTAAGGACCAAATTGCCATGTTGTGAAACAGGACTGGTTGGATTTGGGCAGAGCTTGGAATGTGACAGAGTTATTGCCTCCTTGTCATCCAAGCCCAGCTTAATCCCATATCTGTATACCAGCTTCCAGTGGGCCAAGTGCTTGAGCGCAATTGGCCATTTCAGTTTGTACTGCAACAAGCAGACAGCACTTATTGGCTCGGGTAGGATCCAAGCATCTCTCCTGGCTCTTGTGTGAAAATGAAAACGGAGAGGCAATGTTTCAGAAGCCTTTCCCCAGCTAGCCGTTGCTGTAGAATGCATGGTTCTGTCAGAGTCTCACTTAATCCCAATGCTACTGCAACATTTTGTGAATTTTTGTACATCAGTATTTTAATATTTAAAAAAGGGTATTTGCTAGCTATGTGCTCTCTAAGAGCACTCATGCTGCACTGCAGTGCCAAACCAATCCTAATTAAAAATAAGTACATATTCCACCATTCCTTTAATCCTTCAGGAACATTGTGTAGCCATGTTTCTTTGTCAGGAAAGCTTGAAGCAATAAATACTATTTTGAACGGCTCCACTATCTCAAAAACTCCTAGCAGCTTTGGAGATGCATTTTCTTTTCAAACTAAAATACTGGATGTTTTTAAGTGATAATGACCATGGACACTGGCAGTTAACGAGGCAGCCAACATTTTAAATGACAAATATATTGTTCACTATTTATGCTCCTGACTGACAGAAAAATCTAAAGCACATTTATTTGACTTCAGTCATTTTTGCAACTCAGTACATGTTTGGAACTACAGCACATGTCTTTATGAAACAGACTAGCTGACCAGCATAGCAGTTGTTCTGAATAACTTATTGATAATCTAAGTATTTCACCTTTTTCCATGTTGTACCTTACTCTTCAGTAGACTTAACTGCTTTATTTTATCTAACTGTATCTACGTTGCTGTGTATTACTTTACCCAGTAGTTTCAAAACATTTGATAACTACTGTTGTAATTCTTATTATGAAATATAACTATGATAATCACATCCTATCAAATCAATTTTGACTTGCAGAGATCCTTTCCAGGGTTTATTAGGTAGAGCATATGCAGAAATACTTTATCATTCTCTTCTTCTGTGGGCATCCTAGGACTGTACAGCTTGCCCAAGGCCACACGAGCTGGCTTTTAGGAAGCACAGTGGAAATGAACTCCCAACCCCTGGCTCCAGAAACTCAACTTAATGAGCTATCCAGCCAGCAAAGAAGTAATTAAAACACTGAAAATCTTGCTAGCATCTCCCCTTCTCCATAGAGAATCAATGACTCTGTAAGAGCTACGAAAAAAAGATATATACATCTACATCTACGTATGTCTATTAAGAGTCCTGTAAGAGTGACAAGCAAAAGTATTTAAGCAATAAACTATTAAAGCAAAACATTTTGGCTTCCACCTTCTTCAGTTGCTTGGATATATCCTATATATCCAGACAGAGGATACAAACTGGTACCGTCTGTCTGGATACAATGTCTTTCTGTGCCAAAGGCCAATCTACTGAGCCCTGGGTAGACCCGCCTTGAACTGCCTCAGCAAGACTTTGTCCATCGACCGCCTTTCATTTGCTCCTCCTTGGGGGCCTGATCTATAGGTTGCAAAATTGGCAGAAAACATCTTCTCTGAAGGCTTGATCTGTCTTAGCCTTTGGTATTTTGTTTTAATTATTATTTTGGGTTTAGCCTGGAGAGCAGTGACCCTAAATGGAGCCTGACTAAACAAGGGACGAAAAACCCAAGACACAGAGTTGTAATTGGAAAATAAAATTGAGTCAATAATAAAGAGGAAAAAAAGAATGTGCAAGTAAAAGAGCCAACATACTACAAAACAGCAGTAATGGATGAGGTGTGTCATAGGAGCCTTGGAAAGGAAAGGAAAGTCCATTAGGCAGCACTTTGGACAAGAAGAAAGACCCTGATAAAGAAATCACATAACACACATACAGAGCTGTAGCCTTGCTCTGCAACATAAGAGGTTAAGAGATAGAAGGTGTTTATTCAGCTGAGGATTAGGGAAACAAAGTTGAGCCACCACAGCAGTGACGTACAGCGCTGCCTTACATGGAATCAGTATGCTTTGTCTGCATGATCGAGTATTTTTACTGTGCCTGCTAAAGAGGATCTCAGAGGCTTGTGTGGCTTTCCTAATCAGGGAACTTGAAGTCCCTTTAATGGGAAATGTGACGTATGGCTCACCTTATAGCTGAAATGCAGGCAATATACCTCTGAAGTTCAAAGCGTAAACATTGGTGAAACAGTCAATAAAGAAGTGGAACAATCAACACATCCATTCCCTCCCATACCTCAGACTTGCTCTGCTCTTTTCATCTACCTGATCAACTCTACGAGATCTGAGGTCTTACTATCCTGCACTAACTACAGTTCAAGATTTTAATTCTGCAGTTTCGATGATAGACTTTTCATATAACAACGTAAAAAAAGGAGCTTCTCAAGGAAGTTTCTGTATCATTTGGCTATTGGTTCTTAAATCACCCATCCAGCACACATGAATCTCTTCTACACAGTAACCTCCCCATACACAAACTGACATGATCTCATAAATCCCAGTTTAGCAAGGGCTGAACAGACCCACAGAGACAAATTCATTGCATCCTTTTAGAAGTTGGATCAGTAAGGTTATAGGAAGCAAGACCCTGGCTATTAAAGAATGGTGTGCTGTAATGACTTCCACTAGATTGTGCTTTTTAAAGGAAGATTAAATGTGGGTTTGTAAAAATCAATGCCAAGGGAAGAGTATCTAGAGAAGTCAATTTTATTACTAAGTCACAAAAATTTTCTTGGTTCGTTCAGCTGGTAGTTTAACCTGTACAATGAGATGGTTCCGGTGGAGAAAATACATGAGAGAATTAGGTTGTAGCTTCCCTTGAATATTCAAAGTTAATTATGGGTAGAGGTTGTGGCCTCCATTGCCCGTTAATGCAGCCACATAGTTTGAGGTCAGCCCAAGTTACAGAAGAGACAGCTAATGAAAGGCACCCTACCAACCAAAAAATTAGTTTGTGCGAGGCACTGTCAGGCTTCCCCCAGCATGCACTGCTGCACCATTTGGCTGCAAATCCTGCTTATTTTATTTATATGAAATATTTCCACAAAGCCCAAGACATTCTACGGTTGGTGTTGATTAGGGAAGCCACCCTGGTGTACTGTTGCTATGGTAGCCACGATTAGTATCCCTCAGTTTTATTAAACATTAATGGTGGCTGTGTTTGTTAATTGCCCATTAGAGTTATTTCCCATCTGTTTTGTCTTTACATTTAAGGAAATGTGTCTATAATTTCTTCTAAAGCCTCACTAGCCATGACTTGCCACTACGACATTCAAATTAACTTGCTCAGCTTGCCAGCATGGGGAGGGGGATGCTGCAGGCTGATGCCAGATTTGGTCTATAGAAAAGAGTTATATGAATGTGATTGCTGGCTTTATACTAGAACAGCAGCCATCTTGTTTCAGAAGCACTTTATAATACAGTAGTACCTTGGTTTACGTACACCTCAGTTTATGTAATTTCTGGTTAATGGAAATCCGTTTGAAATAATGCCTCAGTTTCTTTTGGTTTGCGAAGGAAGTTTCCCCATGCCTGGATGTTTAGAGCACCGCCACCACTGCTATGGCAATCCACATGTTGGTTTACGAAATGTCTGCATTACATAACGTTCTGGAGAACATATTAATTTCGTAAACTGAGGTACTACTGTATAAACATCCTGAATATGACAGTGTGCTGGCCAACTTATGGAGCATCACTGCTTCCTTTAAAACATGTCCACCAACTTGACCAAGATTATCTTTATTCTGGTAATCCCTTTTATTCAACGCTTGTGTATACTTTCTTTTTACGTCTACCTCTGCCTCTGCCTATTTATCTACCTATCTATCTAAATAAAATATTTATATGCTGCCTGTAGCGTTCAGCCGTGCCCTAACCTGTCCATCACAGCTGAGCAGTGTAAAAGGAGCCATCTCTAGTATACACACATCCTATGCACATTAGCTTGCCATGTGAATAAGGATTACAAACCTAATTGTGATATTCTCACCAGACCTACTGATGACCTTTAGGTTAACTGATCGAATAGAAACACAACCAAAAATAGTTTTTCAGCCATTTTACTTTCTGGAAGTTCATTACCTGGAAAACTGTTTTTGAAAATTCACAGGCATAGGACTGCACAGCCGTATTGCACTGTCTTTTGCTTCATCCCAAATACTATTTTCAGTCTAACTCTAGATTGTCTTTCTCAACAACATGTATGCCTGATCATCCAGTTCATTTCTGGCAGGGTAGCAGAAAAACTGTCACTGGTGTATATTCATGGGTCTATTAAAAGCTACAAGAATACACTTTCCCTGTATCTCCAGCTGCCAAGGGATTATTATTATTTCTCCCCTGCAGTGAACAACCAGTTTTATTCTACACTGCAAAACGTCCAACAGACACCTAGACTCATAGCTCCCTCAGAAACGTCTGCCCTGTAGCCCCTCTAATTGTAAAATTTACTCTCATTTCAATGCACACTTTGTTTCAGCTACAACAGTAACTCTATCACTACCATTTTTATAGCAAGGATAAACCTTGAAAAGCATAATTGAAACTAGGGAGATCTTTATGTCTTCCACTGCTGCTTCCCTGAACAAGCAGGAAAAGGATAAACAAGGGACTATCCTGGTAACTAGAAATCTTGCCTGCTATGGCCACAACAGTGCTAAGCAAAAGTCACTCAACTCATTGGAGGGAGGAATGCCCACTGCCCTGCTCGGAGGCAGGCTAGCCATGAATAAGTCTTCATGTGCTCCAGAGTAAAACATCCAGGAAAACAACAATAACACACGAGTCTTGGCTGAGAGTATCTCAACAGCTGGATCTTGCAAAGGCTGATACAAAGTAGACTTGGTTTTGAAGACTTAACGGAATTCAACATATCTAGGACAGATACCTCACTTTACAGGGACCGAAAATGGCTGCCGTATGGAGGATCTTCCAATGGAGCAGGTATTCAGCCCACTGGAACGCATTGAATGGTTTTCAATGCGTTTCAATGGGGTTTTTTATTTCGTTTGACGACATTTTCGCTCTCCAGCGATTTCACTGGAATAAATTAACGTCGTCAAGTGAGGCACCACTGTATCCAGTTTCACTCATTTACTTCTGGCTGAAGTACAAAAGAGCAGCAACAAGAAAAGTACCCTAATATTCTTACCAAGAACAAATGTCGAGGGTGCCTGTTTTTCCCAGACACTTTCATCAATGTTCCTTCTTTAAGAAATACCTGAGGGGGGAAATACAGAAGTATTAGTACATCCTACTTTTGTAGACTATTCAAGGGCTCAGGAGAGAACAAGAGTGTTCTCTCAACATACACCTGATTCCCTAACCCCACTCCATGTGCTGGTATCACTGCCTTAAATATTCATATATTCACACACACACACACAGACACACACACACACACACACACACACCCACACACACACATTCAGGCAGTTGCTTCACTATATGCATAGTTTTTGGTAAGCCACTGCAAATAGCTACACAAAGACAGCTACCTTATGAATTAAAAGTGGGCCCTCATGTCCATCATACATGTAGAGCAGATTTACAAGGAATGCTCTCTCAAGAAAGAAAAGCAGTGTAACCAATAATAACATCATAAAATACAGAGGTAAAAGGAAAAGGCAAAATACTGTAAAAGCTTAAAGATATATCTTGATCAAAAAGACTGCAAGAATTAAAAGTGTTTTACTCTTGAACTAAAAGATAGCAGAGATAGAGAGATTAAAGAGCTTTCCATCTGATCTAGTCTGGAGATAGACACCTGTTGCAGTTCCAAAGGCCTGCTTCTGCATGACAGCAAAAATATTTCCAAACAGGGTCGGCGTGAGGACACAACCCTGTTTCACTGTTTGTTGAGCCATCAAAAATTACAGTGCCCTTCATTTCCTTATGAAAGGACCTGATGAGGTTAAGGAGTCGAGGTGAACATCCAGTCTTGAAAAGAATTTTAAAAAGGCCATCCCTGCTAACCAAATCAAAGGCCTTTGTAAGATCTATGAAGGCCACAAACAGTTGCTATCATTGTTTCCTAGAATGATTTCTCCTGCAACTCTCTGAGGGAAAATACCATGTCAGTAATGGATCTATTAGCTCGAAATCCACACTGTGATTCTGGATAGACTCTGTCTGCAAGCACCTGGAGTCTCTTCAGCACAACATGGGCAAGCAGCTTCCCTACAATGCTGAGAAGAGAGATGCCACGGTAGTTATTGCAGTCGCCCTTGTCTCCTTTGTTCTTATACAATGTGACAATGTTTGCATCTTTCATGTCATGTGGTACTCCACCATCCCTTCAGCAAAGACAAAAGATCTCATACAGCTCAGTGGCGATGATCTCTTTACAACACTTCAGCAGGAATGTTATCCTTCCCATGGTGCCTTGCTGGAGGTGAGGGAATCCAGGGCCGCTTTTATTTCTGCTAAAGTTGGTTTGCTGTCCAACTCTTCCAAGACAGGCAGGCACTCAATGTTATTTAATGCCTCTTTGATTACTACATTCTCTCTGGAATATACCTCAGAGTAGTGCTGTACCCAGCGTTCCATCTACTGTGCTTGGTCCTGGATGATCACACCTGTAGCAGACTTCAAAGGAGCAGATTTCTTCTGTATTGGACCTAAAGCCTGCTTTATACTGCCATACATCCTCTTGATGTTACCTGTGTCCGCTGTTATCTGTATCTGAGAGCAGAGCTGAAGCCAATAATCGTTAGAACTTCTCCTGGCAGCCTGTTGGAATTTGTTACGCGCAATTCGAAAAGCCTTCAAGTTGTACTCACTAGGACAGGCTTTGTATGCTGCTAGAGCTCTCCTCTTTTCCTTGATGGCTGGCATCAACTCCTCCGAGAGGGTTTTGAACAAGTCTGCCATATTTTCTTCTTTTTGCCATATGTATACAAGGCAGTGTTATAAACACTGTTCTTGAAATGTTCTCATCTTTCAGGAGCACTTGGGCAAATTCCTCCACTTTTCTTTGATCTCGAGTCTTGCTGATGTCAATACGTGGTCTTCCTTTTTTGTGTGATACAGTCTCTTTGTTCACAGTGTTACTCTACTACACATCAGGGAGTGATCAGTATCGCAATCAGCACCCTGATAACTGCGTGTGATCGTAATACTATGAAGGCTAGAGCGTCTAGTGAGGATCAAATCGAGCTGATGCCAATGCTTCGATCTTGGATGTCTCCAGGAAACTCTGTGGTGAAGCTTCATATTAAAGAACATGTTGCTGACACAAAGACCATAGTAACAGCAAAACTCCAGCAAGCAAGAAAGGTTAACATTCATGCTTTTAAAAAAAGGGAAAGTGAACAGGGTAGAAGGTATTGCTGTATATTTTCCTGACACCCACCAGCAGATTCACCTCTAGATTTCAGTGGCCTCTAAATTTTGGTGCCCTGGGTCAAAGCCTCCGTGGCTCCAATCTAAATACTGCTCCCAAATAGAAAAGAAACCGAAGTGAAAGAGGAAGAGAGAGGGTTTCAGACACATAAGATGAACAGAAGGAGAGAGGAAAAGGGCTGGTTAATGTCCTCACCCACTGATGGCTTCTGCCCTGCTGACTGCTCCCAGGAATAGATTAACCAAAGGGAACATTGCCTCAACAGAAAAACACTGCCTACCTCAAATGATCACTATTTATGCCCATAAAGTGCATAATAATTTTTCATGCACCAAACATGTGTGATAGACATGCATTTAGGGGTTGCCGACATCTTTCCAGCAAGCCTCTTTTAAAAACATCACAATATATAAGTTTGCTCCGTGAACTTTTTTTTTGAGAAAAACAGGCATGCAGCCACTGAAAATGCATACATTTCTACTTATCTCTTATCATGGAACTGTTACAGTCCCAGGAGCCTTCACAGAAAAAGAAAAAGATGATTATGAGCAAAAAGAACTTACCCTTCCTGGCTGGAGAAGATTGCTCTGCCCTTTAACGCTGTGCTCAATATGTACCAGCTTCTGCAAATTTTCCTGTGACAGAGTACAGGCCAGAAAATAGGGTTAATAGTCAGCTTTTCAATTCAGATGATTGCATAATATTTATGACAACCTTTCTCTGTTTGGTTCAGCATTAAGAGACATTCACTAACATGCTTTCTTTCTTTCTTTCTTTCTTTCTTTCTTTCTTTCTTTCTTTCTTTCTTTCT